TCATTTATTGAACCAGGAGCTGTTTTCAACGTTTGTTGTTCTTTTGCGATGCTGTAAAATTGATCTTCGACATTGTTGTCTTGCCTTTGAGCATAAGATCCATGTTGGCTACAACAGCATGTGCCCTATCTGCAAGCTCACACTGACACTGGCCATTGTACTTCGATGTGCATCCCAAGGAATTATGGGCACAGTCCGAGCCACAATTCATTTCTGAGAAGAGGCAGTGGCCTAGTGGTAAATGGTCTCTGGACTAATGATCCAGAGACATCAGGCTGATGCTCTGGTGACATGGGGTCAAATCTCACCATGGCAGATGGCTGAAATTCAAATTAATGATAATGCTGACCTATTGGTGACATTATTGTGAAAATGTCCTGTTGTCCTTACCTGGTCTGGCCTGCCCATGACTCCAGACTAACAGTAATGTGGTTGACTCTGAATTGATTGGTGAAATGGCCCCTAGCAAGCCTGGCTGTTAGGGATGAGCAGTAGATGCTGGTCCAGGCAGTAATGCCCACACCACATGAATGAATAAAAGAAAAAAAAAATCTATCCATCTCATCAACGGGTGAGGAAAGGATTCAATTTTGCTTGTTTGGATTAATTTTGAAGCTCTGTCTGTCCTCTCAGGTAGAGTATTAATTGAAGAGCAGCAGGAGAATTTATCCCTGGTGCGCTGGTCAATAGTCATGCCATGGTCACTATCACAAGCACAGTCTATATGTTGAGTGTTACATTGCTGTTTGTGGGAGCCTGCTGTGCACAAATTGACTGCTGCATTACCTACATTACTACAGTGGCTATACTTCTAAAGTATTTCATTGCCTGTAGACCACTCACATAAATACAGTGATCATGAAGAGTAATAAAAACACAAGTCTTTATTTTCCGTCATTTCTTTTTATCATTCTACCAGAAATATCATTTCCTTTGCTTAGATCATGCACCAATTGCAGGAAAGAACAAAGATGAGTGTCTTGTTGTGAACACAGCAGGCCAAGCAGCATCATAGGAGCAGGAAAGCTGACATTTCAGGCCTAGAACCTTCTTCAGAATTTTCTGAAGAAGGGTCTAGGCCCGAAACGTCAGCTTTCCTGCTCCTCTGACGCTGCTTGGCCTGCTGTGTTCATCCAGCTCTACACCTTGTTATCTCAGATTCTCCAGCATCTGCAGTTCCTACTATCTCTGTCCTGTTGTGAAGTTGAGCTTCTCAGCCAGATTCAAGAAGGATAGCCTTGATGCTGATTCTTCCTAAAATTACCACTTGCCATTTCTCATTACATTTGTAGGAATGCAACTGCTGAATCTCCCTACCCTATAACCACCAGGAACAACAGGAATTCTCCACAGCAAGTCGTGGTGTTCCATCTAAGGCAAGACATTCTGAAAAATTTCAGAAGTTTATGTCAAAAATAACACCCACTGACCAATCCAGACATTAGGTGGAAGTGCAATAGTGACAGACTGATTTCTTTTTCACAGTCTTACTTACACAATATAATATCCCCAGTGTGCAAAAAAAAATACTGTGCAGATGCAGTCTGTGATGGGTCACACTGAAAAGCCCGGAGGCTTTGCAGGAAATAATTTGTTTTTGATATTGAAGATGTTGCTTCAATTATGGCTAAAACAAATTTGGAAGTTAAAAATGTTTACAAACACTGGAACCTTAAAATAGCAAGATTTGACAAAAGCATTCTCAGGCAATGTTGTAAATCACCTTGTGTTACTTGTCACATTATGATCAAAATGGCACATTCTGCCTCTAGATTTCTTCCTCGTGTACAGAAAGTTAAAGAAACGGTGGCTTAAAAATTATAGATGACAATGAGGAGAATGTTTAGAAAATGAACAAGGAGAGTTGCCAAGTTCTTTTTTGTTGTGGCAACCTGCAATGAATTGATGAATGGCCAAGACAAGACCATCCATTCAGTACAAATGGAACAAATGTCAAATGCATTATTGCTCAGTGCAAGATCAATTGCACTTCAAAATAAAACCAAATTTTGCTCTTCTCTGTCTTACCTATGGAGCTTCTGCAATATCTGCAAGGGCCTGGCTCCATGGGAAAGCTTATTACAGTTCTGTTACTAAGCATTTGGATCCATTACAACAGTTCAGCTGTACTCGATGATACCTGTGGTAAAATCTTCATCAGTGCAGCTAGTAAATGTTGGAAGGCTTCTCGCACCAGTATGCGACAGGCCAATTTTTTTCAAGAGAACATTCGTTTTCTAAAAGCCAAAGACCTGTTAGTTATTTAACATTTTAACTAAGCAATAATGCATGACTAAAAACTGCCATCATGAAGCATAAGTTAACTAGTTCCCAATCTATTGTGTTCAGAATTATTAAACTATAGCTTGTCACAGATTAATTTCAAAGCTTTACTATGGCTTTCTGAGTCAATGTAGTTGATTTGAAATGTACCCAGTTGGGCAGCACGGTGGCACAGTGGTTAGCACTGCTGCCTCACAGCGCCAGGAACCCAGGTTCGATTCCACCCTCGGGCGACTGTACGTGTGGAGTTTGTACGTTCTCCCTGTGTCTGCGTGGGTTTGCTCCGGTTTCCTCGCACAGATGTGCCGGTTAGGTGGATTGGCTATGCTAAATTGCCCATAGTGCCCAGGGATGTTCAGCTTAGGTGGGTTATAGGGGGATGGTTCTGGGTGGGATGATCCAAGGGTCAGTGTGGACTTGTTGGGCCAGAGGGCCTGTTTCCACACTGTAGGGATTCTATGATTCAAACATATAGACTACACATCCAGACCCATTGCTTTTTCAATAACAGGTGTTAACTCTGCGATTGCTGCTGTCACAGGAGATAGGAGGGGTGATGCCAGGAACAGTGTAAACTAAGAGGACAAGGCTTGGAAAGCACTTGTTTCTGGACACCAGACACGTTCGAAGCCTCTAATATGGAGCGTAGGAGTGTAAGCTCATTATGAGCCAAGAATATATCATTCAGCTTATTGGTAAAGATCAAAAGATCAGCATCAAGATCCCATGCAAATAAGGAGCCTAAACTTTGTTTGAGCCCACTGTCTCAGGATTACCCTGAGGCAGGCAGCATTGCCACTGACAGTACTCGCTTAAATCGGGTCTACAGGCCAAGTGGGAGATGATGGCAGAATTGCAATGTCACTGCATTAGGCCCAGTCTAAGTTCTGGGGTCTCAGGTTCAAATCTCACCACAGCAGCTGGTAGAATTTAGATTTAATAAACCTGGAATTGAAAGTGATGACAAGATATATCACTGATTATTGTGAGAATCCATCTGGTTCACTGGAAGAAAATCTGCTACCCTGACCTTATCTGGCCCAGTGACATCAGACCCACAGCAATGTGTCTGAGCAGAGTTTAGAAAGATGAGAGGGGTTCTGATTGAAATGTATAAAATTCTAACAGGACTGGACAGACTAGATACAGGGAGGATATTTTCCCTGGTTGGGGAGTCAAGAGCCAGGGGACACAGTCCAAGCCTTATGACTGAGATGAGGAAAAATGTCTTCACACAGAACATTGTGAGGCCAAGGCACTGAATATAATCAAAAAAAAGAGAGAGATCAATTTGTAGATTTTAAACGTATCAAGGAAAAGCAGAATCTGGCCTCCAGGTGAAGGGTCAGCCATGATCCTACCCATCACACCCCGGTAATGACCTCCTACAACATCTTCTGTCAGGCAGAAGATACAGAAGCCTGAACACACGCACAAGCAGGTTCAGGAACAGCTTCTTTCTGGCCGTTAGCAGACTGTTGGATGGACTCTAGCCTCAAATAATGCAACCTGCAATGTAACCTGTATGCCTCTAAGTCTTTTTGATCTGCACATCCTTAACTTGCTGAGATTTGCCTGTATAGCTTGTAAACAAAAATTTTCACTGTATTTCGGTAGCTGTGATAATAAATCAATCAATTGAATAGCAGATCAAGCTCAAAGGGCCAAATGCTTTACTTTTGCTCTTATTTTCAATGTTTCGATGTTAACTTCTCTCTAAATGACCAAATATTAAGTGACTCAGTTCAAGGGCAGTTAGGGAGGGGTAACAAATGCTGCCCTTGCTGGCAATGCACACATCCCATAAAAAAATCAAGAAAAACCATGGGCATTCTTTCTAAATAAAACTACTCATCTGAATGTAGAGCCAAAGGGAGCAGGCAGCCTCCTCTCAGCATACATTCAGAGAATGGTGATTTCTGTCATTGACTGCTATCCCAGGAATCTTCAACAGCATTCCCTCCCTACTAATCACAGCCACTACCAACTCCTCATCTGATCATTGCAACACCTCCCCACTCAATCGCTGCTACTACTGCCCCCCCTTGTTCACAGCACCATCTCCCATCACCACTACTACCTCCCCATCTGATCACTACCAATGTCCCCTCAGCTGATTGCTGTCAGCAACTTCCCACTTATTCACCACAGAAATCAGAGTCACTACCTCCCTCCCTGATTGACTCCACCACACTACCCTCTGGTAATGCTGACCTCCCAGACTGACTGCCCACCTGCCAATTTCAACTTCTTTCATTACCCGAGAATCACGACTACCGTAGCTTCAATTATGCTTTAGTCGCAATTTCCCAGCTGAACTTTTGGCAACTGAGCTTATGGGCACTGCAGGTCAGCATGAAGTGTGATGCTACCTGTCATTGAAAAGCAATTGTCTAGTTTCACACATGGTAGACACTGGGTGAGGTGGTGGACAAACTCAAGTCCAGTGTCTTGAGGCAAATGGAGGAATTAATGGGAGTAATAAAACGGACGGATTCCCATTGACTGTATGTCAGCCCAGATTCTTGCACAGTGCAGCACAATCACAGCTTAAAATTAGTTTTGGCTCAGATTGTAATAGAAATGTCAAAACTGAGCATCCCACAGAAAGTGAGCTTGTTATTGACGTGACCAATTTTGCTTTGTTGTGCTAATTTATCAATCAAAGAAGCAAGAAGATGAAGTAACAATTGCTGAACGTGTCCTTTGATTGGCAGGTTGACATTGAACAACTTGACCCAAGAGGTCGGACTTCATTGCACCTTGCTGTTACGCTTGGATACCTGGAGTGTACAAGAGTATTACTAAAACATGGCGCTGATGTTAGTAAGGAAAATCGTAATGGATGGACAGGTACAGTAATAAGTTACACACAATTAATAGAGTTAAATCCTCTTTGAAAATACTGTTGAATTATTGCTTTGAGTATCTTGTTGAACTTTTTCACTTCTTCAGCATCTCACAGTAGTCTCTGTGATTGGAGTTGTTCCCCTTAATTGGACCCTGTACTCTTTCCATTATCTGCACCTTCAGAATTATATGATTCACTCTTACTTTGTGGTTATATCTCTTTTGGATTGATTATAGTCTCAAGCAACTATTCCACCCTGTTAAAATTCAAAAGAGTATTCAGTCAGCGTTTGTGCAAGTTAAAACAACCAAAATAATCATTCAGAATTCTTTACGAAGTTAAAACATGATAAAATACCAACAATATTATAAGGTACAGATCTTAAAGGTAGCAAAGATGTGGAATGAGATTTATTAGCTTTCTCAAGAAAGGTTTTTGAAAAATAATACTGTCTGGATTGTGAAATTCTGCCCATATTTGATGTCCTGCTCCATTTTGGCCTATGTCAGTTGAGCTTGAATTATAATGTATGGACTCAGGATTTAGGAGTAGGAGTAGGCTATTTGGTCCTTTGAACTTACTTTGTCATTCATGATCATAGATGACCTGGTGTGGTCTCAATTCCAGTTTTCTGTCTGTCCCTTATAAGCCTTGACTCCATTGTCTACTAAAAATCTATCTAACTAAGCTTTGAATAAATTCAATGACCCAATGACACATATTTTAAGTGAACTGTAAGCCTCATATTATAGAGTCCTTGTCCCCAAATTTCAAAATGAAGAATCTCAACGAGTTCCTATCCTTATCCAGTTATTTTCCAGTTAGTTTCTAGTCAAATTTGATGGGACTGATATTCAAGGAAGAAATATTAACCTTTCAGTAGTCACAATATGTCCACATTGTTAACTATTTTTACTGAAACAATCAGCAGGACAGATTTGTACTGAGAGGCAAAATATCATAAAATCATCTACTTCCATGCAGAAAGCTTTGCCTAATATTCAAATGTCTAGCCAGAGTGGATAAACCATTCATTTATTTAACTGACAGGAAAACAAATATCACTGCACATTAAATGCAGCTATTTAGCAATTTAAAACACCAAACTAATCTTATCAAGGGCACAAAGACAGTTGAATAATAAGCATTGTTTAGTCTTTTGCAAACACAGCTACAAGCAAAACTGTATTTTTGTGATATATTCAGCTGAATATTAGTCTTATTGTGAAGACTAACATTGAAATCAGGAATCTCTGACACACATAGCTAGAATTTCTCCCTTTATGTCCATATATCCCAAGATTGTGACATTAAACCCATTTTCAGAGCTTTCTGAATGAGATTATCAATTCATCTGAATGGAGGAAGTGTTCAGTTTAGCTGCTTGTGCCCATTAGAAAAAAGCTCTGGCTGGCTAAAACCTGGTAATTAGAATACAATGCTGTATTTATGATAGCTAACTATCAGGGGAGCTATACTCAGGGAGCAGAGTTGGAGAGACAGAGCGGTGGAGTACATAAATCATTTGAGACAGGCGTTTGGTAAGTGAAACTAGTTTGGGAGGAGCAGGCTGCTCCTGGTCTTTGTTTCTAAAGCTCTCCACTAGAGGGGTTTGCCTCAGATTATGGCTGTACCTTCTGAAACTCACTGATAGAGACTGATTGCAACCATTCATCAACTTCTCCATTATTTTTGAGCGATGAAGGTGGTGAAAGTCAAGCCAGATGGACATTGCCCAGTTTTACATATGGACTTACTTACATTCGATGTTACACCTAGGCCCATGGGATACTCTACACTGTTAAGCTCCCAGATGAGTCAGGATAAACTGGTTCCCCTTCATATTCACCTGTCCCCTTGGTTGATCACAACCAGGTCAACTTAAAAATGGATCCCTTCCCTTGCGGATTCCTTTCTCCCAGACCCATGTGAATTTATGTTTTAAATGGAGTCAATTTAACCAGACTTTCTTGAGTTACCAAAGAGTGAGTTTATTGATTTCCAAATGCGAGAAGAATTAGAAACACATCCCACATACAAACAGATTAGAAATAAGAGGTGAGTCCATAAAGATAAAAGATTAAAAACAGAGATACAGATCAGTCTGTGAGTTGTCCATGAAGATGGAAGATGTTGTGCCTATCGCAATGCCAGTATTGTTTCCTGCTGAATAGCTTATCCTTGGATTTGCAGATTATCTGAGATTTTATTTTTGAATCGTCTTGACCAGGGAGAGAGTTCCAAAGATTCATAACTCTCTGACAGAAAAGAAATTATTTCCTAATCTCTGTTTTATATAGTTTTTAACAGTGACCACTGGTTCTAGATTGTCCCATAAGAGGAAATGCCCTCTCCGTGTCTGTGCTATCAAACCCCCTCAGGATTTTATACGTTTCAATCACATTTCTAAACTCCAGCAGATGCCAGCCTAGCCTGTCCAACATTTCCTCATAAGACAATTCTCTCATTCCAGGTATTGGTCTTGTAACCCTTCTCTGAACTGCATCTCAGATTTACAGCCCTATCTTCAACTTGCACACTTCCATCCAACAAGGCATTTTCCTGATACTGGTCTCTGCTAAAACATAAAACTGAGTTTGCAAAGAGCAACGAATAAAGAGAAAAAATAACAATGAACTAAGAGAACAAAGAATAATGAACAGTACAGCACAGGAACAGGCCCTTCAGCCTACCAAGACTGCACTGATACATGGTGCTTTTCTACACTAAAAACCTTTTGCCTCTACATGTATCCCTCTATTCGCTGCCTATTCATGTATCTGTTAAGCTGCCTCTTAAATGTTACAATTGAATCCACCTCCACCAGCACCTCTGGCAGCAAATTCCAGGCACTTTCCATCCTCTGTGTAAAAAACTTGCCTCTCAGATCTCCTTTAATCTTACCCGTTTTACCCAAAGCCTATATCCCTTGTAATTGACGTTCCTACCCTAGGAAAGGAACTCTGACTATCAATTCTATCCATGCGTCTCGTAATTTTGTAAACTTCTATCAGGTCACCCTCATCCATCGACATTCAAGTGAAAACAAACAAATTTTGTCCAATCTCCCTTTGAAGCTAATACCCTCCAAGCCAGGCTGCATCCTGCTAAACCATTTCTATACCCTCCCACCACATCCTTCTGGTAGTGTGACTACCAGAACTGTGCAGACTATTCCAACTGTGACCTAAATTTTCATTTTGAGGAAGGGAAACAGGAGCCAAGTCAAGAAGCCAAACCCACCCCCTTTCATGCTTTGTAACATTTAAAAAAGTATAATTTCTAATCAACCATTTAGGAGATGTTATTCTGGAATAGGTAGGGCTTGAACCCAGGCCTACTGGCTCAGAGATAGGGATGGTACCAGTGCACCACAAGTGCCTTCTAATGCTTTCGAACTTGGACTGAGATGGCTCCCTAGTTGTCATGGAAATGGGTTTGGTGGGAGGTGAGCTCTCAAACAGGAGGACTGAATCATTTCATCTCAAGAGGAGCAGCAGACTGCAATGGAAGGTGAGTGAGTGAGAGGACGTTTCAATATGGAGCTGTCCTCCCACCACCATTTAAAAACAATGTCAAATAAAAAGTAGAAAAAGCTACCAATCTATCACTGCTGCAGAGGTAAAATCCATCTGCAGGATCGCCTTTGGCTGCACTTTTACTCAGGCAAGGAGAGGCTTGAGTGCCTGTTGCCATTGAGAGGCTGATGGGAAAACTCCCTCCCATGCACCCCCCCGACAAAATGACTGGCCCTGAAAATTCTGCCATAATTCTGGAACCTGTCACTCAGTTGTAGAATCATTGTCATGGCACAGATCCTTCGGTCCAACCAGTCCACACTGACCATGTTCCCAAACTAAACTAGTCCCACCTGCTGCGCTTCCAAAACTTTCCTATTCATAACTTATCCAAATGTCTTTTAAATGTTGTAGCTTTATCTGGCAGTTCATTCCTCACACGAACCACTCTCAGTGTTAAAAAATAGCCCCTATTGTCCTTTCTGAATCTTTTTCCTCTCACCTTAAAAATATGACCCCCAGTTTTGAATCCCCCACCCTCGGGAAAAGACCCTTGTCATTCACCCTATCAATGTCCCTCATGATTTTATAAAACCTCAATAAGGTCACCCCTCAACCTCTTTAATCAAGAGGAACTGAGCTAACAAGTCCAGCAAATTGTGTGGTAACCTGTTATTCTCGCTGTTCTGCAGTTCAGCTAAGGCTCATTTTGTTTCTGTCTTTTATTATCTTCTGCTATCGCTTGGCAGGTAAAACATAAAGCAACGGATTGTCAATACGTTGTGGGGAATTTGTTGTTAAACCGTCCCAATAAACAGAGATTGCGATTGAAGTGCTTCATTTATTTCACAATCTGGTTTAAGAGGTGTTGTCAGTACTGAAACTATAACAAGTTGGCTTATCATTAGTGTGTACCATAAAAGCATCGTTCATAGGGTTCTTATAGTGCAGTAGTAATGTCTCTACCTCAGAGCCAGGGAGTCTAGGTTCAAGTCCCACTTGCTCCAGAAGTATGTAATAGTGTCCCTGAACAAGATGATTAGAAAATATCTTCTAATATTAGCCAGGTTTGGTTTATCTGCTATACTCCCGAGCCAGCTACACGAAATTATGCCAAATGCTTCAACAAATTGAAAGCTCTTTTTCACGCATCCCCTCCAAATCAATACTTAATCACAATTCATTGTTAACTGAATGACAAAGTTCCTCCTTCCTGAAAGAAATGTAAGATATGATTCAACTTCCCATTGACTGGCCGCAGATATTTTGGGCAAGATTGAAGCAACTATTTCCCTAACACAAACCCCTCTTGAGAACACACTGGGAAATCTATCCTCCATTTTAGCTTCCCACCAAAGTTATCTTGTACCAATAAATGCTACAAGCTCCTTGTTCAAAATTTTCACTCTTTGCCTCTCTGTTCTGTCTCCTCGTGAAAGCACTGAAGTCTTATTGAGTGATCTTTTCATCTTTTAGCCCTTTGC